CGTCTTTTTCAAGTAAAATATCCAAGTATGAAACCGTTGTGTCAGATCCTGTGGTATCTAATACTCAATATGACATAAATTAGGAAGTCTTTCTCTCTGATAGAACAAAAACGAGTGTGTGCACTGAATCACTGTCAATTCTTAACTGATGGCTTACTTAAGATGTTCTTAACAGAAATAAATAATAATGGAGTAAGTCATGATGATACGTTACTGTATTCCTATCACAAGAAGACGGCAGTTTTCTGGGTAATACAACAAAATACAATACCTCACTGGTGTCCACAAAATCTCCCAGGGTGTTTCTGGGTCTGTTTTAAACTCGTCCTCAAATGGGTGTATGAGGGGGCCTGTCCCAACCTTGTCATTGCTGATAACAACATGTTTTTTATTAGTAAAATTCATGTTGACAAACAACATCAAACATCAAATATTCATTAGAATGTATGAGTTGTATGAGAAAGGTGTAACATCCTCCAGGCTCTCCATCAGTACAGATGAATATACACTGATTTCTAAGGCTGAGTTTGATAGATGTCTTTACAATAAAATATTACGCCATGAGACAATAAAAATCGGACATACAAGGCTGATATATCTACATCCAATAGAACAGATGATGGGTTCAACAGTCATGACACAATATCAAGTCCTAATTCTACAGAAATGTACAACTTGGAACCGTCCTTCAGTTAACGGCTTTTAAAGTATATATGGAAACTTACAAACATAAAAATAAACTGTGGTACAGAGCTGACAAAATCTCCTGTCATATGCTGAAATTAACAGCCAAGTTTGCTTCTATTACTGACATGCTGTATGTAGTCATGTATAATTACAAGACACATGGAATACTAACCCTAACCCTAACCCTATACATGGAAGCTTTATTTATTATAGAAATTATCAATGTCAAGGTAATACGGCCATATGTGATGTATGGTTACAATGTAGATACAGAGATGTATACTGAGGCTGTAGGAGGACAGTCCTGGTCTGCAAAGATGAGACAGGCTGTAAGATGAAGGATATGGAAATAACGAACAGATGTAATATCAGTCTTGTCAATAAAATCCATTGCATCAGTGAATGAATACCAGAACAACAGCCTTCTCTACATAATTTATGCTCTATTTTAGAAATACCACACTTGATACTATTATATATGCTAGAGATCTTGTGCTACAGACATGTAGACACAATGAGAGCACAAACAGCTCTAGATGATCTACAAACCCTAGTTCACTATGATCAGGGACACGTTATACCTTTATACCTCAGAGACATATCATGGCAGATTATTGGGATCTGTCAACAGGTGACAGGGAACCTCTAGGCTGATCTATACTCATACCAACAATCTCTCAGACAAGAGTCATGCAAAAAATTACAAACAGGTACACAAATGAGAATACAAGGGTTCTTCCATTAGTTTACTCAATTAGTAAAATATATGCCATGAATTTGTAAGTCTGATTATAGATATATAAAACAAAGTGCAAAACCTTGCACTGTCATTGTACGTAGGTCACCACAACTCATTCCATAAAACATTGTAATCTTATGCCTAATAAAAGGGCATTTTATTACTCTCATTAAAATTAATTTATTTCTTTACTTTTATGGGATAACAATGCCAAGTTTTTATAAGAACATATAAAACCTTGAACACCTTAAGATGCATAAAACGCAAATTGTTGTTCAAAAGAACTTTAATTTCAAACCATATTTCGAGACTTTTTAAATAGAATGATAGAATTAAATGTTTTATTGTATATTGTTTAACGTCCCTCTCGATAATTTTTAACTCATATAGAGACGCCACCACTTACTGTTAGAGAGCTGCAAATTTTGTCCAATGTTCGGCAATTAGGACAATTGAACAGGGAGGGATATATTTCGTACCAGCACTTACTGCGACACAGGGTCTTTGTTTATACGGTCTCACCCGAAGGAACGGTTGTCATGTCTGACAGTGGGATTCGAAACGCGACGAAAGGTTCAACTTCTTACCTCAAAACTCTAAAGCAGACGCTCTAACCACTGCGTCACGCGGGCAACCCTTGCTGAGGAGCGAAAATCCCTGAAACAAGACGCCCATGGGCATTAATGATTAACCTCTCTTTCCTCCCATGAAAATGTATGATATCACATTCATCTCCACCTTAAGGGTGCATGGACACAGATTTGAAGTCAATATTTTCCGTATAATATTACGACTTATATATTTTAATATCACTTCACAAAAAATAAATCAAAAATCTTATTTCATCTAAAAGTTATTAAACATTTAAATTTTTAGACGGGTTTGACTGACACATCCTTCCACTTTGAGAAACTTTAATTCTATTCTTTATTCTTAGGAAAATTAGCAATCTTGATGTGTGTAAATAAAAAATATTTAAACTATAATCCAGAAAATTCAGAGTAGAAATGTTCATAGCAAAACATACACACAGTAAATGTCAGTCCCGGAAGTTGTGGTGAGCAGACCTTATCAAGTGATCGCACCTGGTGAAGCGTAAATATCAACAATAACAGAGCTCGTGCCCTGTTTACAAAACGTCGTACGTTTTATAGGTGAGATCAAATTGGTTAACTCTGTATACAACACTTAGCTCGGAATGACGATATTATACTCGTGAAGGAGATTTTGATATCCTTGCATCATTATGTAAAACGTAATGCAAAAGGTGATAATGGAAAAGGGAAAGATGATGATATAAAAATTGATATACCATAAAATCAGTTGTCATCTGATTATTGTCTTTTTCTTGTAAAACTTCCAGATATAAAACAAATGTGTTGAATTCTGTGCTATTATTTATTTTAAGGTTAAAGGGATATATAGTACTAATGAATGAAAATGAATATGATCAGAAAAAAAGAAATTTCTATAAAAGCATCACAACATTCCAGAAGTTATCACCCCTAAGGAATGTTGGTGCCAAAACAGAGGTTCAAATTTTAAAATTGGAATATAAAATGGGAAAATCTTTTCAGGTGAAATTACTTTCTGCTCTTAATTTCAACATATCAAAATCTCATTTAAGGGTACTTACCACAAACAAAAAAATAGATGCGCGGGTTGATATATATTTTTTAACTGATTTTGATTTGTATTGACATAAATAATAAATCCCTGAAATATAAAGAAATCGTAGGTTTTCCTTGGTGCTTAGATTTGAGATTTTATTTTGCCTTCTATATAATTCCATACAAAATTTTGCACATTTTTTTAACTTTATGACAAAATCATATAAAATTCTCCAACTCTACTTGGTAAACATTATTCAGGTTGTCAATTTAAATGTAAATCTATGAGAAATAATGCTGATTTCTGAAAAAAGTCTGTTTGTGTTATTTATCCTTAAATTCAATAATTTACAAAATTCTATTGTTGCTACAAAGAAATTGTTTGCAAATACAATCTGTCATTTGGTAGAACATCATTCATGCAAATTCTTAGATCATTATTTCAAGTTGAATTGTTTAACTTTAATTAGAATTATGAAAATTTGTTGTAGACCATACACAAAATATTTTTAATATTTCTTATCACTTTTTGTTCATTAAAATGTATTTCTATAAAAATGGCTTTTAAATATGTAATTATCATCTATATCTTAAATGACGCAAAAGGTAATATGAATCAAAACGAAAGTAAATGGATTTTTATTTACTAAATATAGCACCTGGAACATTCCAGATCTTACCTTTCAACATGGACTCCGTTAGAAGCTCACAAATGTAAGTTTTAATGGAGAAATATATGTATAATACTTATAATGCTTACTTTATCTCAATCAGAAGACCAAGATTTGAATATGAATCTGAACTACCTGCGGATAAAACTGTAATTAATTTTCTTATCATTGACACTGCTATCAATGAGAGGATTGATTTATTAATTGATTGTATCTTGTTTTACCTCCATTCAATATTTCCTCACTCATTTGGAGACGTCACCATAGATCAATGTAGGACTTCAAATTTACATCTTTACTCGATATTGAGGACCATGGAAGTTAGGGTTAGAGATTCTTGTGAGATGGTTTGTAGATGACTCCACTAAATAACCAGGGTTCTCCATGGGTCATTAAATTAGGTGGCCTGCCACAGTTAAATAAAAACTCCAGGACTACAGTTCCAGTCATAGTAAAATATTTCATCACAGTAAGATTATCATTGATCAGGAACATTATAGTGAATGTAGAATTTTAGAAGCTTAAAAACCCTAACCTTGCTCAAATCAAAATTATATACCATTTAAGTATTTAAGCTAAACAACCAGTTTACTCTTATAAAGTCCTATTGTCTGGAATGCACAATTTTTTTTATATATGTCATCTTATATCAGTGATTCAGAAGAGTTATTTATTGTTCAATCTAAGTAGCTTTGGTCACAAAAGACTACAAATATTAGCCCGTTGCATAACTTTGTGCCACCCTAAATTTTTCGATTATGTTGAACTTTAATATTCACATTCTTCTTGAAAAAGGATGTGGCCCTTTATTTGAACACACAAACCAATATATCCAAGGATGCACAGTGTCAAATGTGGTTGAATTTGGCTTCATATGCGGGGCGATCAGAAAATAATGCAAGTAATGTAATTCCATAGATATTCTTCCTTGATGACCAAAACCGATGTAACGCACGGGTAGATACATTCATTGTGTCTGTCTAAAATTTCAAAAGTTACATACACAAGTAGAAGTGGAAGTCGTACACACTGACCATTTTCTCCAAGTGATATGAAATCTACAGTGAAGGCTGAAATAAGAACCTATATAAAAGTGAGAACCATTCTTGAATACCTGCAAAAAATAATTTTGAATGAAATTTGTCAGATTTATGGAGCTTCTGCAGTTTCGTTAAGCACAGTTTGTCGTTGGTTGAAAAAGTTTAAAAATGGTGTTGACGTCCTTAAATATTTTTCGAGAACAGGGCGACCAAAGAAGCTGTTACTCATGGAAACGTGGCTGCAGTTAAGAAAATGGTTGAGGAAGATGATAGATATACTTTAAGATATATTGCTAGTGTTGTTGGTATCTCATCAGCAAAGGTATAAGAAATTTTGACCAAGCACCTCAACCTACGTAAAGTATATGCACGATGGATACCGCATCTCTCAACACCAGACCAAAAGACAACGCGTTTGAAATTTGCTAGAAAACTGTTTAAAATTTATTTCAATTTTCTGACTTGCTAACAGGTGATGAAACTTAGATTTACTTTTTTGAACCACAAAGAAAAATAAAAAATATGATGTGGGTAAGAAATAATAGCGAGCGTCCTGTCATTGCAAAAAGGTGTCAGGTGTGTTATGAAGATTCTGTATGGTATTTTCGTTACTTCTAGCGGCTCAGTCGTGCAGATTCCAACTCCACAAGGTAGAGGTATTTCGGGACAATTTTACAAAAGTAATGTACTGAAAAAATTAAGAAAGTATATGAAAAGAAAAGACCAAAGACAGACCTGAAGAACATAAAGCTCATTCATGACAATGCTCCTGCTCATAAGAGTAGAACAGTTCAAAGTTTTTTTGAAGGATGAAAAGGTTGTTAAGCTCCCACATTCCCCGTATTCTCCCGATCTAAGTCCTTGTGACTTTTTCCTATTTCCTAGACTGTAAAATAAATGTTATCTGGACGTCGCTATACTTCGCACAGTGCAGTTGGTAGTGCTGTTTTTCAGTGCTTAGACAGTATTATCAGGGAAGACTACCTCGGGGCTTTTATAACATGGGTATGCAGATTCCAAAAGTGTGTGAATGTAAAAGGGTTTTTTTTTGAAGGATTAAACTAGTTTACATTTTGATATATATTGTTTTCATTATTGTATAGAATGATATACTTGCAGAATTTTCTGATCGTCCCTCGTATTTCTTGAGAAAACAAAAAATGAAAATATGGAATGTGTAAACTTAAAATGATTAAATGTTTTTTTATGTTCCATTTGAGAATTTGGCACTAATGTAGAGACTTCACCATATAGCTGTGAAGTGTTTCAAATTTAAACCTTTACTCGACACTTAGGGCCATTAAGAAAAGAGTTTTCTTTATTGTGACAATGTCTACTTTAACAAAGGTCCTTTGTTCTTAAGGTCTCATCCAAAATACTCGCAACTTTTATTTCAAAGTGCCGAGTGCTTAGCAAAGGAGCAGTTGCTAATATTTTATTGACTTAGGTCAGTCACGACATGATTTGAACTGTATTGCATTTGGTGTTTACGATATTTGGCGGAAATTCAATTGTCAGCAAGTAAGCGTAGATTTGATTTAGTGCTGTCTGAATTTGTTAGTTATAAAAGTTAACATAAAAGACAGTTACCGATGTACTTGAATTAGCGGACTCTGTTTTCCGCTAAAATTGCTAAATAGAATATGCCTCTAAATGTGATACGTTTACAATTACCTTCTGATCACAAAGCGAGCCTCCACTACTTCAGAGTTATAATACTACGATAGATGAAGGATATGGAGATAACGAACAGTATTCAATATCAAAGTCCATAAAACAATACAAAACAGGAGCAGAGCAAACACTGACCCCCAAAACATCAGAGGTGAAAAAAAGAAACGTTTATTTACCTTTTCTTCCTGGATATGTAATTGACATTGTTGATTTATAGTTGAAATAAGTACATGTATATGTGTATAAACAATGTGCTGGAATAAAAAAAATCCTAAGGAAAATTCTTATGTATTTTCAAATATTAAAAAAATTACTTAGTAATCCTATTTTAGGGTATATATTTAAAATATTTATATTAATTTTTATAGGTTTTTTAAATGAAAAAAAAACATACAATAGAACTGTATTCGATCTGAGACTACTTTATAAGCAATACTAATTCCATGTGGACAAGTGTAATCTGGTTCCTTTTAAAAATTAACAAAGAGTTACAAGGGTCACATGGCTCGCCTGAGCACAATGGCTTGGAAAAGCACGAGCCATTTTATGAGGAGGGGATCATTTGAACAAACTTGAATGAAAATACCTACCTGAGGATGCTTCCAAATAAAAATGACTAAACACGGATTTTCTGTTCTTGAAAAAAATATTTCTTGTATTCCTATGTTTAACTCCTATTCATTATCTTAATCTTTAAATCCCCATTTTGGTAACATTCTATACCCACAAAGGGTCATGATTTGAAAAAAAAAACTTGAATCAACACTACCTGAAGATGATTCCATATAAAAATGAGTTAAATCATTCCTTTGCTGTTCTCAAAAAGATTTAAAAGTTCTTCCTAATAAATTCTTATGTATATCTTTGATCTCCCATTGTGACACCATTCTATCCCAACGGGTCATGATTTGAACAAACTTGAATCTACACTATCTAAGGATGCTTCAATATCAATATGACTTAACATGGTTTTTCTATATTTGAGAAGATTTATCCTATATATTTCTATCTAAATCTTTGATCCCCTATTGTGGCCCCATCCTACCACAGAGGTGGTCATGATTTGGATCAACACTACCTTGAGATGCTAACATATCAAAATAACTTAAATCATGGAATCACTTTTCTTTAGAAGAAAATTTAAAAGTTTTCCATATAAAAGTAAAAACTTTGGTTACTCATTGTGAACCCATCCTACCCCCAGGTGTCATGATTTGAATAAATGTGAATCTACACTGCCTGATGATGCTTCCATATTAAAATGACAAAAATGGCTTTCTGTTCTAGAGAAGTTTTATTCCTACATACCCTATAAGTACAGTCAAACTTGTTTTAAGAGGCCACCTTTGGAAAGTCTGGAAACTGGCCACTTAAGACAGGTGGCCTCTTATTCCAGTTTGCCCTCGAAGTATCCAGTCGGTCAATAAATAAACAACATTAACCACTACAGTTATATTAATTTATCAGATAATTAAACAGGTCAATTTCACAAAACGTTTTTATGTGTATATAATTCATATATTAATTCATGCTTATTAAAAAAAATAATTCCCAATTTTTAAGGTTTTGTGCATGTTTCTGTTCCTACAAAACAGTTAAACTTCATACACTTAGTGTGCTTTTGTTACATTCAAATATTATGAATCGAATTATCATTTGAAAAAATACATTGTGCCTTACTACTATCTTTTTTTATTAAGAAAAAAAAAATACACAAGCTTTAATTAAAAGACAGTTTAATGGACTTTTACGAGGAGCGCTGACTTTTACAGTTGACAATTACTTTTACACTAGAGCTATGTACGGTAGCTCTTTTATGATAATAATATTTAGCTCAACATTTAATTAAACGAAAATAATGGGTTATTTCAATGCACAAATAAGTTGTCCTTGAAGAAAACGATAACTTCCCTTCCCTCAACTCCCGGTCTTCACATGTTAATGCCCCTAATACCATACCTATGACCACTAGAAAGGTTTTCTTATGCAATATCAATACTGTACTTCCGTACATGACACAAGTTTAAATGTCCAAGTAAACGTCAACTGTAGAAGTCAGCGCTTCTCGTAAAAGTCCATTGGTGAATGAAATACAGCATCAAAATTTATTTCAGTAAGTGTCAATTAAATTCATTTATAAATTTCACCATCATATGTTCAGGTAATGATCAGAAGTGTAACACCCCCCCCTTTAATTAATCGACAATCAACTTACTTGCTGAAGTTTTTAAAGTCTGGTAAATTATTAATATTATTTTTGATAAAGCTGTCAGAATTAATAATTTCTATCTAACATACACAGACACACAAATAAGATTATTCAGTTGACCAGAGAGGTGTATTTACGCAGTTAAAATCAATCTACTACAACACAGGGTGTCAAGTATAGTAGAGCGTGACTAATCCCTATCGATAGTCTCTTCATAGTGAAATTCACGAGATAATCATGCCATACAAGTTAAAAACAAGTCAGTGATCGCAATGCACTTGTCGATGCGACGTCATTTCGTAAACTTTGACGCAGTTTGTATGTAATGAGAGGCAAATCAAGTAATATTAGCTCAAAGAAAACTGTATTCTAAAGTTAAATTAATTATTATTCACAGATATCTTATAGACTATTGATTTAGATTTTATGTCTTCTTCACGATTTAATTAATATTTTTTCCGTATATATACTATCTAATTGTTACTGTCGTATATTTATATGAGAGAGAGTAATGTGAGAGTCAAAATAAATCGATCTAATGCAAGGATGAACACTCAATGGGTAATAGTAAGCTATTACAAATCACCTCAAAAAGAATTAAAGTATCCGAAAAGTACTGCGAATCAGATAAATCTTGAAAATAATTTAATTATATCAATGGTTCATGCTGTTGACCAGCCATTAATACAGCATTCGGTCATACAAATAGGATTTTAACAAAGAAATTGCATTATCGAGATAGGATTATAGTATTTTTCATAGGGATATAGAGATAACGAACAATATTCAATCTCAAAGTCCTCCATAAACCAATACAAAATAAGAGCAGAGCAAACACGGACACCCGGAACAACAGAGTTGGGATCAGGTGCCATGAAGGAGTGAGCAGCCCCTGCCGACCGGTCACAGCCGCCGTGCGCCCCCTTTCATGATCAGGAAATAACGGGAAAAATCCGTCGTGAATTCAGTGTATAAATAATGGACTAACAATTGGTCAGAATTTACAATGCTTGCTGAAATTATTTATAAAATAAACTAATTTATTTTTATTTGGTTATGCCCTTGCATTAGTGAAATTTAAAGGTTGCTTCAATATATTGCTTAAATCGTGTGACTGTCGGAACACGTGACAAGTCTAAATATAAATTTAATCGTCCTCAATATGAAATTTTTAACAATAAATACAATTATCCAATATAAATAATCTACTTTAAAAAATAGTCATCCTGATTAGTAATACATTTTTAATAACAAAAATTGTCTATATTTCCATTTCAATTGCTCACCTTAATTTTACTGCGTACATTACCTGAGGATGTTTCCATATGAATATGACTAAACACGGCTTTTCTGTTCTTGAGAAGACGATTTATGGCCCGAGAATCATGGTTTGAAAAAACTTGAATCTATACTACCTGAGGATGCTGCAATATCAAGATAACTTATCACGACTTTGCTGCTCTTGAGAAGATTTTTAAATATTTTCCCTATATATTCCTATGTATAATTTTGTTGTATAATTCTATCAAACTTTAATATACACTAAATAAAGAAGGTCTCCTAGAAGTAAAAAAATGGCGAAGTGGTTATTTATAATTAGAAGATTTTTAAGACATGCCACCAAATTTTAAGAGCCATTCTCTGTAATGATTTGAAATTTTATATAGGACCTGTGGCACACATATTCTTAGAATTTCTCCAAACTCTCTATGATAAAAGTCATTGATACCCTGAACTGAAATCAGGCAAAAATTGGTTGCTATACTTTATAGTTACCATGGCAACATGTCTTAAAGTTCGAAAAATGGCATTTTTAACATGTTTAGAGCCCCATAGTTAACATTTGCGGCAAAGCAAACAATTGGTAATGACTGTTTCCATAAGTTGAAGGCCAGATGTCTCAAATGCATGATAAACATATTTGGTAAATCAACTATTACATATGTTACTATGGTAACAAAGTATTCGAAAGTAAAAAAAAATATTCATTGAATTTTATAAAGTCATACGCGTAAAAATAAAAAGCAATTATAGGATGAAATGTGACCAAATAATGGAAAAAAGAGCCTTGAGACATATACCAAGAACAATATATGATATTTCATTTTGGTTGGCAATGGTTGCCAAGGTTTTTATACCACAGAGAGCCTTCAAAGAAATACTCTGGATGTTTAAATCTGATCCTATTTAAAAAAAAACATTTCCTCATCACTAATGATCAATTTTTAAAGATGTTGGTGTGCTCCTAGTTTTCCCATTTGAAAAAATTCAGATTAGATTCTTTAAATAGAGCGTTGCTATGGAGATAAGCAGAAAATAAATGCTTAAAAACCTGAAAAATATTTTCTTTCCTTGGATACGTATCCTTAAATGTAGATTCCCAAAACTTTTATGATTGAAATTCATTAACAGCTAACATGACTTTTAATTTTGACTATCATCCAATCTCTAAGTGGATGCAAGAAGTTTGCACACAAGGTTTAATATTGATATAAACTTTAGAAAATCGAACATTTTCCCTTCTTGGTTACCATAGCAACAGTGTTGTTTTCTTCATCAACTTTTATCAATATGTGATATTCAACTTTCGTTCTAACAGATAAGTACTATTCAAGCTGAGTCCTTTAATTTGTTTCTTGATTATATGGCAATTTAATTCTTAATGCAGCGAAAAATAATTCACTTTCAAGCACTGGTACTTTGTTTCCATGGTAACACTGCAAAGTATCAATTATACCCATTTTTTCTTATGGTTTTTGTGTTGCATGGTCCTAAGGATGCATATTTGCCAGTCTTGAATTGTCATGTTTTTCCTCAAGACAGTAGCATTAACCCAATCTTAGTTACTGGTTTTGAATGGTTACACTGTGTTACCATGGCAACCATAAAAGTTATTTATAGAATAATATTGCTTATACTTATATACTTAAGGTCAAACATTTTCATTGTTTTTCTTAAGTCGTTGATTGAATTTTAGCATGTAACACCTACCATTAGTGAATGTGGAGTGTTTTTCAGCATATTTCAGCATTTTAAATGTATTCAAAATGTACCTTTGGTTACCACTTACTTAGAGATATATTCTAAACAGTTTCTTTACAGTGTAAGTGACATCAAGGTGTCATGTTTTTGTGAGAATGGTTTGTTTGCTTTTTCTAGTTTTTATTAAGCCACAGTCAAGATTTAAAGTGGCTGAAAATCTTGATTTTTCAAACTTTTCCGGCTGTTGCCATATCAACCGAGACACTTAACAACGAAATTTTGTTTGATATTTGTTTCTGGCGTCAAGCACTAAGCATGGGTGAAGTTTCATCAAAATCAGTGACCATGCGTGGCAACGAAGTTTAAGTGGTTACAGAGAATGGCTATTAACAATTTCTACATTATTTCTCTTTGAAAAATGATGGGGCCCTTCATTTGAACAAACTTGAATCCTATTTAACCATGGATGCTTGATGGCAAGTTTTGTTGAACTTGACCCAGTGGTTCTATAAAAGAAGATGAGGATGTGAAAAGTTTACAAACGGACGGACAGACAGAAAGACAACGGACAAAATGTGATCAGACAAGCTCACTTGAGCTTAAAGCTCAAGTATGCTAAATGTGTTTCTATTTAACAATTAAAGCGTTACAAAAGAAAGAAACCTATCTATACAACAAAATGTGCCTCGTACACGAAAAATTATGTCAAATGCATGAATTAAGTTTTTAAATAGCACATAATTTATTTCACTCCTGTTTACAATATGTGAAAAAATGTTCAAAACATTTAACCATTATCTGACACTTGTATGGTACTTATTTTTAATATAAGCAGTGCAAATATCAAACAAATTAAAACGTGTAAAGAGAAACGTACTTACATACATGTTAACGTTGCACATACGTTATTCATATGTTAAAGGAATAACGTACGTGTGCAACGTATGTGTAACCTATAGCAGTCAATACTTACGTTTAACATACGTGACACACATGATATTCATGTGTGTGAAAACGTACTTTTAACGTACCCGGTTCTTTTTTCATGTGATACGTACGTGAATTCAGTCACACACTTATCGCATACGTTTAAAGCAATATGAGCTGCATTATTGAGAATTTTATTTTGCTGGTAAAATGTGTTATTATGATTAATCTGTATGTAATCTAAACCCTTATGATCGATAAAACCAAAATAAAGTTTAAAAATGTTTCAGAAGAAAATTTTTTGTACAAACGAATATACAGTATTATATAAGAAATCATTATTGTACAGGACGACAATAATTCAATTTTGCTTTAATCAACGCGTATAAAAAGTTCTTTCATAGCAAATATGACCAACAGAAGTTTATAAATGTTCTATTTTTATGTCATTACAATAGTTTATTACAAATTTGCAACTTTTTTTCCGATGTCAAACATGCAGCTCATATTGCTTTAACCTACGTGTTACGTAGGTGGCACATTTTTCTGTGTATATCAAAGATATTTTAACTTTATCTAATAATTGTTGTCTTTAAATACAGGCATTTATAAATCATTCTTTTAATCTACATTTATTAGCCTTATTTTTTCTCAGAATATAAATGATTTTTCCCTAAAAGTTTGCTAAATTGATTTTCCAATATACGAGATATTAACAAATTATTATTTTTATTTTAAACCCAGTAATACAGCTATACAACACATATCAGAGTCAGTGTTTGTGGGACTGTGTCGTAAAGTTGGGACTTCACAACTTGTGGCCATGAGGAGAGATGTGGCGGACATCAATGATGTGGTGAGAAATTAAGCGACAAAAAATAGTGTTGTGAAAACTGTCTTGATGAGTGGAAGTCGAAGAGAAGGATTCAGACTGCAAGGGTCAGATATAGACTATATGTTCTGGCCAAATAATCACCGAGTGATCTGGGAATTATCTCAGTCTCAGTATTACAACACACACAGACAAACACTGATCCTCTCTGACTGTTCTGAGAATCCACCAGGATTCACTTTATTATATTTACTGTCACCAAGCATGGACAGACAAGTCCATGGAACTTGTGTTAGAATGAAGAACAGGAATTATATATCTAGTTCTAAGTACAGACAGATCATGTGTTCTGTATCATCATCTACTTCCACTCCACATGGACCCTGTGCGAGCAGAACAATTGGTACAGTAGAATATGATTCTGCAAGCTGTCTTGTCTCTGACTTTTGGCCTCCATCTGCCTCATACTGGATAGATAGATGTCACACATGGCCCCAACCTCAAATTGTTGATGATATAGTGAAAAATGGTTGTCATTTTGTAGCAATAGGACATAAACTAGGAAGACATGAAGCTCATGAATGGAGAATTTCTTTCTCTTTGGCAGAACAAAAACTTGTGCATGCAATGAACTACTGTCAATTCTTAACTTACGACTTACTTAAATTGTTCTTAAATGAAATAATTAATAATGGTCTGGATGATAATGATAAATTACTGTGTTCCTATCACATGAATACAGCAGTTTTCTGGGTGATTCAACAAAACACAATGCCACACTGGTATCCACAAAATCTCATGTTGTGTTTCTGGGTCTGTTTTAAACTCCTCCTTAAATGGGTGTATCAAGGAGTCTGTCCTAACTTTTTCATTCCGGATAACAACATGTTTCTGAGTAAAATTAACGGCGACAAACAACATCAGCTATTCATGAAACTGTATGGGTTGTATGAGAAAGGTTTAGTGTTTCTGCTACACAGTTCCTCTATAAGGTCTTATATAATTAATGTCCTTCATAACCCAAGACTCTCCATCTGTACAGATGAACAAACTCCAATTTTTGAGTTTGATAAAAACTTTTTTATTGAAACGCACAATGAAACATTTCACGAATTCAACTTTGAAATCTGTATGAGACATCTACATACAATAGAACGGATTACATGTTTACCCCTCCTGACAAAGTATCAAAACTTCATGCTTCAGAGACTTACAGCTGAAGTCCTCCAGAGCACTGCTTTTATATTACACATGGAATCTTACACACATAAAAACAAACTGAGGTATAGAGCTGACAAAATGGCCTGCCACATGCTGAAATTAGCAGCCAAGTTTGGTTGTATTTCTGACATGGTGTACATAGTCATGTATTATTACAAGACACTTAGATACATGGAAGCTTCATCTATTTTAGAGATGATCAAGGTCAAGTTAGCACAGCCTTATGTGATGTATATGGGTAAAGTAGATAAAGAGATGTATACTGAGGCTGTAGGAGGACAGTCTTGGTCTACAAAGATGAGACAGGCTGTAGCATGGGTTGTCAAACTTGACAATAGAATCCATTACATCAGTGAATTAATACCAGAACAACAGTCTGCTCTACAGAATGATGTCCTTGTATTAATTGTCCCACCCTTTATATTGTTATACATGCTAGAGATTTTGTGCTGCAGACATGTAGACACAGTGAGAATACAAACAGCCTTAGATGATCTACAGACCCTAGTTCACTATGATCGGGGATGGTGTATAGCTTTACATCACAGAGACATATCCTGCCATATTCTGGGGATCTGTCAACAGGTGACAGGGAACCTCCAGGCAGCTCTATACTCATACCAACAATCTCTTAGACAAGAACCATTCAACAAAATACAAACAGCTACGCAAATGAGATTACAGCACGGAGGGTTGCTTACATAAGATAACTGAATAAGTAAATTTAATGCCAATTCTTTTTTTAAATAAAATTGTTCCTAATAAGGTTTACATAATTATTTTTCTCATGTCATAGTCTCTGACGGATCCAGAAGTATATGGATTCAATGCTCACCTTAGTCACCGAGTTACCTTGGCTCTGCTTTTCTTAACAGATTTTTATCCCATCTATACCCCCCCCCCCCCCTCGTATTAAGGAGACTAAAAGGGAAAAGAAATATTGTTATAAAAACAGGCGGTAAAAAAACCAAGTGCAGGTCAGTCAAGATTGTGTGATATTTTATACAGTAATTGTATAACTGTATAGTACTATATTATTGTATAACTACTTAGTACTGTATAATTGTATGACTACGTAATTCTAAATAATATTTGTATTCAATATTAACATTTATACTGTGCAGTATTGTAGTAGTGACTACATCAAGGACATTATAAACAACTACACAGTTATTGTTTTCATGTACACTGATGTAAATGATAAAATCCCGACATTCCTATCTTGTCATCTCACCTTAAACATTCTTAACACAGGTCTTTGGCCCTAAGGGTTTTTATTTGAAATGAAGTTTTTAGAAATAAAATTTATTTCATAAAAATTTTCATGTAACATTTTATCTTCTGAAAATCCAAAAGTTTTAATGCATGTACATGTATAATGGACGTTAAATGATTATTTACATGATATCATAAATGTACATGTATGTGTAGTTCAGTGGTCGTTGTAAATTTCAGCTATTCTTCACTCTCTAATTTTATTACTCTGAATCACTGTTGGTCATCGTCACAACAATGATTATAATGACAATTACGATGACCGTAATTAAGATTGAGAAGCAGATGATTTTTTCTTCCTCGCCGCACACTGATGTTTCTTTGCCTCCTCTAACTGTTGATTCCCACTCTGTATATCCTCCAAAGCTAGTTCTATTTATTATAAACCTATGTGTTACAAACAAAAACAGAAATAGTACAGAAATATAATATAACTTTATTCTGACACAAATATTTCAGAATTCATACAAACATCATCAATAAAAAAAACATATGATTTAAAAATGCCTTCAGATATAATTATTCATTGTACATGTTATTTGTACACATTTCAAACCTTCATATATAAAGATAATTTTAATTTCCCCTACCTCCTGTATCAAAACAAAATGTTTAATACTAGTTTTTTGGAGGAAAAAGGGTAAATTGTCAAGACTCTATCAGAAAAAAAGAAATATATCATGGAATAAAAAATCAATTACAATCTAATTCTGAAATAATTTTTATAATGGGGGGAAAACATGTTCAAAATGACCTTTATTTTATTTTATTTAATTGGGACAGATTATGTTTGTAGGTCATACACATTGTACATCCTTAATTAAACAGAGAAATGATTAATGAAACAATGTTTTGAAGCCATTCAAGCAGATATTTGTTTGTGAAGAGTACAGAAAATTTTAATTTATTATGCAGGACTGTAGGAGACTGTAACTTAAATCACTTAAACAGAACATAATATTGTCTTCTTCTGTGAAATATTTTTGCCAAGTATATGAGAGCAAGGTTTATCCATATAATACATAACAAAACACACAGGAGTTTGTCTCACAATTATAACATGAGGCTCAGATCACTGAATTGAGTGTTTTGACCTCTGACGTCTACACCAGTGCTTGGGTCTATAGCTCTCATCCTGACACTGTTTATAAGTCTACATTTCACATATTTTATCCGACACACAAATTGACGACACTACGAGCAGTGAGTTGTCTCCCCATTGTCTATGTCTGAATCCGTCCCATTACTTTAACATCTGGAGCAACCTGAAATAAGATTAATGTCAAATAGAATTGTATGGTACTGCCTAAAACATGACATGGATCTAGATATCAAAATAATCCATATCAGTCTCTGGTGCAGTCCTAGAGTTCTCAAATGGATATCACCTTATTTCAAATATGGCAAATTTTACAAATTGTAGACACATACATCATTTATTCATTAATGAATCATAAAACTCTATCTAAATTGTTATTAAAAGTTAATAAATATTATATAACTTTGATTCATTAAATTTTTTACACACAAGGAATAGTTTGTTGTTTATTTTAAATAATCTTGAATTTTTAAAAAAGAAATTCACAAAACAATATTAAAACTCAGTTATAATCAGAAGTATTTAATTTGCACGTACCACAAATTCACAGTTGGTGGGACCAACAATGCTGACAACATCTTCGTTTTTGCGATCTCCGTTAATATTAGTCCCTTTTCTGAGTCCACGTCAAACACACACTGAGATATAAAGCGTTATAATCACATTCACCGTTAAGATTATGAGGGCCTCTCCCAGAGTTAATTTTTGAAACATTTTTACAGTATCTCTGCTTACAGATTTATATCATTATGAACATCAGTGATTGCCATACCTTGTCTGTGATGATCATATCCACACAGTTTTTACCCGTCAGGGGTAGATCACAGCTGTTGACTATCTTACTATTTCCTTTCTGAAATATATCAACACTCACTAAAGTTATACTGAACCTAAATCAAACCATGGACTTATTTATAAGGTTTTGAATCAGCCAACGTAAGTCAGAATATTATACAACCTTGTCTTGGTGCTCCATAGTAACAATAACCTTAGTTTTGTGACTGGACACTAAGTCCATAGCTCCACCCATTCCCTTGACCAAACGACCCTGAAAATAAGACATCAAACATTAGTACAACAAGAAAAATCTGTTTATTAACTACTGACTGGACACTAAGTCATAGCTCCAACCATTCCCTTGGCTAACCGACCCTAAAAATATATAACAGGTTAGTATAACAAGGCAAATAGTTCATTGGCTAATTCTGTTACCAAAGATAACCCATCAGAATTGAAATATGATTTAAGAAACATGGAATAAAAAACTGTTTTTCTTCATACTATGAACATGAAGTCTTGACAAAAGTGATTATCAAAGCTAATCTTAATTTCATATTGTACTTTTTCTAGTTAAACGGAATCATCCAGTTGGCCAAATCTCCATAACGAGACAATTGCAATGTCCTTAGTATGGTCAAGTTTATGTGTCCTCTGTAAAAACAATATCAGTCACACAATTAAACAAGAAACTTGTAATGTCCCTAAAATGGTTCAGTTAATATGTCAACTGTAAAAATGGATTATGTTTCAAATATTTGGTATCCATGCCCAGTAAAGTTTTCGTGTAATTAAAATTGTTGGAGGCAATAGTCAATGTATACGGAAAGGAAAAAGAAACACATAATAGCATAACAGCGAAATATATTTAACTATATGGCCGAAAATTATGAAAATTGGTCAAATGTGTATTTTGATTACTTTTCACTAAAATTGTTGGTCAAAATTACTCAACCATGAAATGTATGGCGTTACGTAGGGGAAATGATGAAAAGCCAAAAAACACGTGCATGTTGATGATGACAATTTTATGATCACATTTTGTGGTGCTAATCGAATCATTGGAGTTATAGACATCGTTTTCCGCATTTGCAATCAGTATAAATTTCGTGCAATCATGGTATGGCTGACGGAAGTTACACTGGTTCCAGTAATTGAATTGCGTAAGTGAATAAAGAGGCAACAAGATGTTGCTGTGCAGTTTGTTTTAAACTTTTCAACAAAAAAGGATTTTTCAGTTGTCAGAGAGTAAATTAAAAGTTTTCAACCGACCATGGCGGTGACGTTGACGCGTAACAACGTCACATCAAGACAGGTCTTTTCATCATGTCACCTCGGTTGTTGTTAAGGTACCGTATAAGTAGAAATTTTAGCGAGAAGCAAATTTAGCGATTTGTCCTTAAAAACTGGTAATTATTTTTAGCGAGATGTTATATTAGCGATTTTTAAATGCACACTAAAGAAGCTATTACAAATAATACACAATTTATTTTTAGCGATATTCAATTTTAGCGATCTCGGCACCCTCGCTTATAATGCCAAAATTAAATCCTCGCTAAAAATTCTACTAATACGGTATTATCACTGAAACCGATATTTAAACAGCAAACTATCATACCAATATTTTCACCCTAAAATTGACAGAAATTCTCTGCTCTAATTTGGTCCGTGAGCTTGGCAACTTTTACGTCGATTTTACTCTCACGCGCGCACGTACGCGTCGTGTGTGTAATGTTTTTAGCATGTTCACACTGGGAAAATGTAGCCAGTGTTTGTCGAGACTTTCTCACAAACATTCACGTGTACCAAACCAGCTGGATTATGTAAATTCTATCCTAAAATGAAAATTCGGGCACTCATTTGGCGGGGGGATTTGTTGGCTTTGGAATAATACAGCTTCTATCAACCATTAAGACTATTGTCGGAAGAGTTGAATAATAATCAAATGAGAAAGATAAATGCTCTGGTGAACTCAATGCACAGGAAAATCAAGGCTGTTACCAATGTGCAAGGGAGTTGATAAGAATTTTTATTTTAATTTTTGGGGGGTATTCGAATATATCAGTTTCAATAACTCAGGAATTATCAGTCAAAGTTACACAAGATTTTGGTAACTTGTAGATTAAAGATGAATTAAAATGTTTGATAACAATACTGGAAAACATTTTCGAAATTATAGTTTTAATTTAATTTAAAAGTAAAATATGCGTTTCTTTTTCCTTTCAGTATATATTTGTACGAAATACTGGGATGTAGTCTTTAACTTGAAATATGATGGATACAAGACTGGACCCTTTTCAGATTAAGAATATTACTTACTAAGTATATTAACCACATCATTTCCTTTTTAGCATATTGAAGTTTATAGAAAAAATCGATTGTTTTAGCTGTGTTTTCTTCAGTAAAATGTAGGGGTTAAAAAGCCTATGATTTGCTACATTGATTTAATTAAAGAAATAAACAAACCTCGAATCATAGCGAAGGAATCGTCTCTGGAAAGAAAGAGCTCCCTGGATGTTGGAGCTCTGACGGTTTGTTTGCCCGCGTTGATCAGATCTGGGTCAACATAACTGGGTAATGGGTACGGACCCTGTAATGTTACAATAAAACAGTATCTTATTCTTCAGAAAAATAATGTGATATTAAGTGTCATTGGATATAAAAAGCTTCTCAAATCACAATGATCTCAATCTAAATTACTGAATATGAAGAAATTTATTCTTTTATTATCAAGATAATTAGAAGACTAACCAATCCCATGATTCCGTTTTCACTCTGTAGATGTACGGTCATTCCTGGCGGGATATAATTACTGGCCAACATAGGCATTCCAATACCCAGAGTGGCTGAAATTACTTAATGAGAAATATAAACAAAATTTAGATTTGCTATATATTTTTTGACTAAAAATAAGCAACATTCACATTGGCTGAATTCATATTACCAGGAATATCGAAAACTTTCAGATTGGCTGAAATTATTTGACCAGAAATATAAACAGCATTTACATTGGTTGAAAGTATTTGACAAGAAACATAAACAACACTTGTCTACCATATATGCCATCATGGAATTCCAGAGCTGCCCGCTTTATGATTCTGTTTCTCATTTCCGTGGCCTTGTCATTTGTCTCTGGTTCCTCTTTTCCTTCCGTCCGCGTTTTCAGTCTCTGTAAGGAAGAGAATTCAGTTGAAAGACAGAAGATTTATTCATCAGATTTTCTACTGTCAAGATTATACACTGTTATGAGATAATCCTTCAAGTAAGTTCGACCACTATTTTAAATTTGTAAGTGTATGATCTGTATCTGCCTTTGTTTTGATTCGAATTCATGGTTAAACTCTCTTATAGTAAAATGTTTAGAATGAAGATTTGATTAGTAGTTATTTTTTCACATAATTCGTTTGTAATATATTTATCAACTACAAGGAATGAAAATCATTTTTACTGTTTATGTTTACCTCTATCACTTTTTACTGTTTATTTATACCTCTATCTTCTTTATACTGATAATTTATAACTCTATCCTCTTTTTGCTGTTTATTTATATCCC